ATATTTACTGGATTCCAACAAACAATTGTCTTGAAGTTTCTTCAATCTATCAAGGCCTTCATCCTTCATTGCTTGTATAGTCTCCATTTCATCTATCAACCCCTCATCAATCCAATAATCAATTATATCATCTATTGGGATATTGTGGTCCTCTGGATACAATGCACAACATAAAAAGCAATGTTGGATTTGTGAGGATTTCAAACGATCATAACTAAATTTTAATACCCCAAATGCATCATCATTATCATCTGTGCCTGCTACATTTCTTTTGCAGTCTTTCAATTGATTCAATGCAGCACTCCACAACCGTGGCTCAGATATTCCCTTCAGGCTACTAGCAACAGTAACAATTGCTAAGGGAAGGCCATCACATTCATCTACAATCCCCTTTAAAGTTGATTCTAAAGTTCCTTTAATGCACCCTTGATCTGACAAAACAATATCTCCAACTTTATCTATAAACAATTTTAAAGCTTCCTTTTGTGAAAGGGTCTTCACTTTAATTATCTTGCAGTCCATGGTACGAGCAACTTCTTGTGACCGTGTAGTTAATACCAACTTGCAACCATCACTTACAAATGGCTCAGGAATTCCAACAGCTGTAAGTTTGAATCTCCTCCACACATCATCTAGAATCAACAAGTACGGCTTCTGTTTTTCTAGCATCTTTGACAACACTGCTGCACGATTAGTTGTATTTTGATGCTCTTCTAGGCTTTCCTTCAAGCTGCATGCAATTTGTTCTTGTAATTTGTAGATATCAAAGGTTTGTGACACAGTTACCCAAATTACTTTCTTGAATTTGGCTTTGTTCAACAACTCATTATGGACATGCATCATGATTGTTGTTTTTCCAACTCCCCCCATTCCCCAAACTCCAAGCTTTATCACTTCATCTCCCATCAAGCTCATCAAAATTTCTGCTTTGACATCTCCACTGCCTTGTAGTTCTTCTATTGGCAATTCCACTGCTGAAACGAATGGATCATCTTTGACCAAACACTCGTTAGTGAAACTACCCCCTTTGTCATAGATTTCCTTTGCTTCTTGAGCTCTTTCCTCTAGAATCTTTACTCGACAACAACATGAGAGACATCCTCGACTGTTCACTTCATTTTCAACCTCTTGTCTTGCAAGAAACTTTTCCACATCATTCAACCATGATTGCACTTCCTCCTTTGCAACTTTCCCATTGTGAAGCTCTGTGTTCAATCTTGATTCAATGTCACGTTTTCGATTGCTCAATCCTTCTTTGCTCACATTGAATTGTTTCAAATGATTGTTGAATTTTATTTGATATTTTAGGTATCTCACAATTGGACTACCAACAAACTTCACAATGTGAATGATTGGTCCTACCAAGTCCATAACGTAATCACTGCATCATATTATTTACAATTTAATA